AATAAAATATAACATGACTTTAAGAGACTGTTTATATGTCAATTGTTATATGTCACCATTGACCTATATTTATTATAAAAATGATTGATTGTATACCATGAACACTCATGGGTTTGTAACTTTTTGTGATAAAGATATTATTATTATATAAATTTGGAGAAAGAACTCCCAGTTCCTTTTTTGTAATATTTGTTATGACTGGGCACTTAAATAGAATCACGACTATGAAGTGAAGTAGTTGGTTATTTAATGGTCAGACTAGATCAATTTTTTAGATAAGTAAATACCGGTAGTTATTCCATTTTTACAGGTATTCACGTGATTGTAAATGTTAAGTGTTCCGATATTGTACCTGTATATTAAAGTGTTTAAAGCTATACGATTTACATTATATAGAATTTATGATTTATTTTTTATAAAATTTATCAACATTAAAAAATAATATTGCTTCCAATAGAATATATCGCTCCAGTTCTGCTATTTTAAGTAGGTTTCTATCTGTTTAGCAATACTTTCCTGCATGCACCATCATTCTTAAAGCAATTTACTATCTGGAGTTATTGCAATTGCCTAATTCTGGAGTTATTGCAATTTGTTTATTTTTACATTTTGAATTTGTCCGGAACATAACTCGGACACCATAAGAGATATCAACAAGAAACTTTGTAAGTTGATAGATAACAGTGATTAGAAGTGCAGTGGAAAGAAACAGTAACTCTGCCTTTCCTAATTTTGGAATTATTGCACTTTGAACTTTTTCCAGGGACATAACTCTGAAACTACAAGAGGTGTACTTTCCTGTGTCCAAAACCTATTCGGGGAGCATCACCCGGCTTAAACCGGGCTCTTGTTCTTGTTGATTACTTTGTAAATGTTTAAGTGGTAACAGTTCTAATATGTTTGTAATATGACAATCATTAACGATAGAAAGTTATCTGGTTTTCTTGAAAACTATAGAGCAAACATTTTGGTTGCTATCTTTAATGAAAAGGAGATACGATAACAGATCATGATAATGATCTATAATATTCACGTATCGATAGCTTCTATAATCTCATGAAAAAAAGGAACGATCTTACAAAACTAAAGTCAGCGCGTTGCGTTATGTATATAAATATGCAATATCTTGTTGTACTGTAATAAATGTTACTATTTTTAGCTTATGGTCTATGACACTCTATAAATTTACAATGATTAATATGTACGGTGCATAAAAGCTCTGAAATTTCTATTACTACTTTATATAAACAGTGAAGTTAGCAAGCAACCAGGGCCCTGTCATTTCAACCTCAACCTCAATAATTGCATACACGTTTACAATAATTGCATACACGTTACAAAAGAAAGTTTGATGCGTCTGTGGTATTTTATTGAATCGTTGCCTTTTAATGTATTTCATTATATTTTTTAATGAAACATTCCTGTATTGCCACTTGCATAACATATATTTATGTTGACGTTTTAATTCCTTTGTAAAACGAATTGTTCTTAATTTCACAATAGTTCGACTGTATAGAGCGTAACAGGAGGTAACTCTACTTACATTTTAGAACTTATTCAGACCAGAGTTGTCTTTCTTTATTTTCAAAGGACCGAATGTAATAAAACACCTTTTTTCAATTGATAGTCGACTTGGGGACCATACGCCGCTTTTCATGGAATGACACTCCTGTGTCACATTGAAGGTTCCATGATAACCGCCGTATGAACACGTCTGCGGATGTTTCAAAATCCAAAATTTCACCATTTTAAATGTTGAATTCTGCTTAAGCCGGTGCTAGGGGGCGTGGACAGTAACTTGCAATTTCCATTACCGTCCATGAACAGGCTCAATCAAACCGAGCCTGCAACATTTTACAATTTTGCCGTGTTGGGCTTTCTTTAGGGATTCTGTTTTTCACTATTTTATACATAAAACTATAACCCTTTTCATAAAGATTAACATTTGTTCTGTACCAATGTATTTTATACCTTGGTAACTTTGCATAAACGTTCTTAAATTTCAATTTTTAAAAAGTACCTTGATTATTCTGTCTGTGCAATCATCGTCTTAATGACGTTATTATCTTTATATCATTTTTTGTTCCATGTTATTTATTATCCTCGTCAATTGGTATATGTAGGTTGGGGGCATCCTACTCTATACAGTGCAATGTGCATAACATATCAATTATCATAACAAAAACATGTATATACCTCAATATTGCTGAACTTCTTTAGATTTTTCCAAATTTGGTCTTAAAATTGTAAAAACCGTGACAGGGTTTTTTTTATTTTGGCGTTAAAAAAGTTTTACCCTATAAAATATCTATAAACGTAAACCTTTTAAAAAATTCAAACAAAAAATAGTTCAAAATTTTAAGGCGATACTATGGTCCCCTTTTCCATTTTAAGGGGAAATTTCATTTTTTTTCGTGGGGATAATTTTTTAGTTTTACTTTTATCATCAAAAACTCATATGACCATAAGAAATTTTCTTAAATATGTTTTGTCAGTAACGAGTATTTTAAGAAATTACATTATCACCCCCACTTTTTTAACAATAACATATCTTAGTATTTCTCTCAGCATTAGAATGAAAAGAAATGGTTGCTTTTATAAAGACTGATATTTGTAATGGTTTACGTTTTTTATACAAAGCATTTGACGGTAGAAGCGTTGACAGAAATAAAATAATGTTGTTTAATGTGATTTTATTTCTCGTTGACAGGATTATCCTGTCATTTACTAATACGTTTATATAAGAAAAGCTTGCAATATTTAAATTTACATTGGAAAGTGTTTTGATATAATAAGAAAAATGGAAAGTAAAATTTCTGGATGGAAAATAGTAGCTGACATATTTATAATTTTGATTTCAATTTTGTTCTATTGGGTTAGTATTTTTGTCTATTTTGTAAACGGTACTGTTACAAGAGTTGCCAAAATTATCATAATTAAAAAGCGTTTTATTAGGAGAGATATCAATAATGATGTTGGTATAATTACAATTAATTGGTTAGATATCATACTTGTTATACAGGACATGGTGGTGTTACTTTTTCATTAACGATTGTTACATCATTCCATTTCATGATCAAGTTTGCTATCAAAATAAAACAGCTGAACCATTGTTTGACATGAACATTGGTAACTTGTTGCTGTTTTATAGTTACTTTGCTATTGTTATTGATAGGGGCGTTCGTAAACCGAGTGGTAAAAGTCTTTGACATTAAATCACTGTGGTATATTTTAACAACGGAGTCGAAACTCTATTTTAAATTAGTGTCAATTACTATACCCATCTTCATTAGCATAAATGTTGTCTTTAACACTTTTTTTCTTATCTTCATCGAATCCTTGGACTAATTCTGTATCATTGTGTACCGAGTGTCTCTTAGCATTACTCTCTAACGATCCTTTATCCGTTTGATCATACAATAGCTCACTTTTATTTTGATTCCCACTGTTAAACAATTTTAGTTTATTGTAGATCGTATTACTGTCACCTGGCGAGCAAGCATTATGTTCCTGCAAAGTGTCATATGAATCATTGTGAACAGTCTTATTATTTGATCTGAGGTTGATCACATTATAATCCTCCGATTCTCCTGTATAATTTCCAGCTCTGTCATAAACGTCATTACCAATGTTGGCATCATTAACATTCCCAGATCTCATTTCACTTGTATGCTCAAGTTCGGTTTCATGTACAGGAGTAAGGTATGCCGTGCTGTATGGTGCAGCGTACACCACACTATTGGAAGCTACTGGATCGGAATCTTTCTTACAACGGAGCCTGTAAACATGTAAGTTAATAATATATGTTATATGCAAAAAGTAAATGGTTACCTACTTTCTCATGGAACGTAAACATAATGCTGTTACTCTACTTATACTGTTCCATGATGGACTGTTTATTTTAATCTAAATTCAGATAAAGCATCATTTATCAATAAGGCAACATTTCAGGGAAGCAATGGCTATGTTACATTCAAATGATAAAATTACTTCTTGGTTCTAAGACGAAATGTAGAATTTTGGTAAAGCAAGTTTCAAAATTTGTTTCACAATAGAATAAAAATGAACATATTTAAACTAATTTAGGTTAGACCGCAGGTGTTTGGCGCTTTGATGGTCACTAACCTCCAACCTTTCCTAAACAATTATTTCATAAAGTATGCGTTTAAATATCATGATAAGATTTCTTTCATTTAAAAACGAACAAAAAAGATAAATTTATGTTTAGTAAAGGTATGCGACTCGCCACCACTCCAACATCTTCAAAATCTTGGTAACAAATGTTAGGGAAATGATTTCAATAAGAAGTAGATATGTAATCCCCAGGTATCCGCGTGTGAGGAACAACAATGTGACCGCTGGAGTTTTCTACGAATTACCCGACTGAAAGACATATCAATCGGACTAATGAAATAATTTTATTGCCCCTTTAAGGATGATAAAATTAAATTAAAAGCACATTATGCCTCAGATATCCACATTTTTTTTAATTCTTGAGAAATCTCAAACATGTGTTTAAAAATATCTTAATAATGGATTAAGAGAATGTTAGAAGTTTAAGTAGGCTAAACATAGTGTCGTTAAAGTAGTTAAATGTAAACACAGTAAACTTCCATACACAATACTAATTCACTCTAATTTTATCAAACAGAGCAAAGGAAGTAAACGTTTATTCTTCTATGTGGCAAATGAGTATTATTTGAATAATTGTAACAAATTACCAAAAATGTTTTGAGTAATCTTTATAGACTTCAGAAAACGTAATGATCTAGTTCTCTCCCTTGCGCTCTGGTTGTGACTTTATTCAGTGAATTTCTTGGATGAGGATTTGAGAGGAACTAAATTTCAGCTACGTCAATTCTTCGCAAGTATTCGTAACAAGAGGACCATGATGGCCATAGATCGCTCACCTGAACCATCAAACTCATCCGACCAATTACCTAGACAAGCATTCTGACCAAGTTTTATGACAGATGAGTCAAAAATGTGACCACTAGAGTGTTAACAAGGATTATCCATATTTGAGCAGTGTGACCTAGTTTTTTACCCAGGTGATCCATATTCGAACTTGACCTAGAAATTATCAAAACAAACTTTCAGACTCAATTTCCAGGATCCTTGGATCAAAACAGTAGCCACTAGAGTGTTACTAAGATTTTTCTATTTTTAGCTCCGGTGACCTAGTTTTTCATGCGAGATGACCAATGTTCGGACTTATCCGAGCAATTACCTAGACAAGCATCCTGACCAAATTTGATGATAATTGAGTCAAAATTGTGACCACTAGAGTGTTAACAAGGTATTTCTATTTTTAGTTCCAGTGACCTAGTTTTTCAGCCGAGATGACCCATGTTCAAACAAACTTGTTTGATGATGATTGAGGCAAAAATGTGACCGTTAGAGTGTTAACAAGTTTTTTCTATTTTAAGCTCCAGTGACCGAGATAACCCATGTTGGAACTCATCCGAGCTATCAACTAGACAAGCATCCTGACAAAGTTTGATGATGATTGAGGCAAAAATGTGACCACTAGAGTGTTAACGAACAAGTGTGGACGGACCACGGACGACGAACATTCAACGATCCTAAAAGCTCACCCTGAGCAAGCTCAGGTGAGCTAAAAAGGATTGATCAAAATGTCACTCATTTCTCTGAAATAAGGTATCTCCAAACATTTGAAGGATTTGTATAATATTGTCATTCAATCTGAAGCAGCATTTTCCAGCTGCCTTAAGACTGAAAAAAAACTGTAAACACTAAATAATCAAAAGATTGCACTGGTTCTTCAATAACGTTGTTTTATTTCTGATTACCGGAAGTCAACCCATATAATGACGTCAATACAATAACGTATAAAATGGCGCGTAACGCTAAACGTTACGCTAATATTGGCACATACATGTGTACGTAACACTCCGGGAGCCACAATGCTTGTTCAAGATCATATTAAATAAAATAATAATTGTACAAACTGAATTCAATGAAATGAAGTATTGTAACTTAGAAACTTTGAAATCAGATATATCTAGTGAATTAAATTACAAGTTCGACCGATCAATTAAATTCATCAACTGTCTCTGATAGTAAACCACTATTGCAATTAGTTTCAAATCATTGTTATTATACTCTTATTGCAATTAACCGGTAAAGTTTCACTGATTATATAAAACGCATTGCAATTGTCACTTTATATTTTAAAGGCATGCGCGAAAAATTGGTGCCGGCAAATGCACGTGAATCACGTGTACAATGTTACTTCAGTTTTAGTGAGACTCTCGTAACAAGGTTAGGTGTTTGTGTTTCCATCTTGAAAAGAAACGTTCAAGCGTTGCATCTATGAGTATGTACAGTTCCTCGACAGGCTCATTTAATCCCCTTGTTGTGAGTTCTCTGTCGTCTGGGTAAATAGGGGAGGTAATCCTGCGTCTGTATAGTAGATGAGATGGGTCTATGAGATCTGTGTACATGAATGTATAGATAAGTGTGCGGTCATTTATAACACATATTTTTTCCGAGTCTTTTCTCACAGGATGGTGGGGCATAGTTCTGGGTCTACTTATATGTTCGTTTCGTGATATAATGTAGTGGTCATCTTTCTGTGGTAAATTGTCAACATAATTTTCTTTACTGTACGTAATGCTATTTTCTGAATATTCGCGTGTTTTTTCGTAGCATAATTGTTGGTTTGGCTTATATCCTTCTCCGACCGACTCTTTTATCTTAAGATGCTCTACTTTAAGTTCATTATGCGTAATCACAGTCATAACGTTAATTTTACAGATGGGGATCGATGTGGAATGTATTTCAGGATCAGTTTTCAATGGTCCTGATAGAAGGTATCCGATTTTAGACAGTGTAGCTGTAGGCCCGTCACCTCTGATAACTTTATCTTGTACTACGTCCCAGTAATGATCAGCACCAATAAGAATCTCGATATCAAAATCTTCATCTCCTGAAACTGGGTGTGTGAGTTTGAGCCCTTTCAGATAAGTAAGGTGACCAGCATGTTTGTGATGAGATTTCAGAGGCGTGGAAATTTCAGGAATAATCAAAACCTTTATGGGAATATTTTCTTCTGGTGTTTCTAAATACACGGTTGCTCTACTTAAATGTCGCACGCGACGCTCTGTGTCTCCGAAACCCGACATGTATAAAGTTTCACTTCCGTTGGGCTCCAATTGTAATTTTTGGGCTAGGTGTTCATTTATAAATGAACTCTGGGAACCTTCATCAAATAGGATATTGGCAGAAATGGAGGTACTTTTTGAGGTTATCATGGAAACTGCTGTCTTTAATAATACAGGACCTGGTGTGGTAGAGTGAGCAGAATGTAATACCGAAGTGGAGTTCTTTTTCTCATTGTTGATAACAGGATACTTATCTGTAGATTTGGCTTCTTTTTCTACTCCACAAATACTAGTATGATGTCTGCGTGAGCATATTTTACACTTGAATTTAGACTTACAGTCTGTAATCTTGTGGTTTCCCAGACAATTAAAACATAGCCTTCTTTCCTTCACTATCTTCATTCTCTGTTCACGATCTTTAAATTTTACACAGTCTATACAAGAGTGCTCTCCCTTACAAAACGCACATCTCTGTCTATGTTGTCGTAAATTGCCTGGTATAGATGTATTTTTTCTTTCCGGCTTTCTGGAATCAGATTTTGTTAAAAAAGTTGCTGTAGGAATGAAGTCTTGAGGGGTATTCAGCAAATTTCCAGCGTCTAAAATATTGATTTCATTCAGTATACATTTCATCAATTCACGCAAAGACCACGACTGTATCCCGTGCGCACGTGTAATGTTTGTTCTGACCTCTGGCGGTAGTTTTTGAAGGATAACCGGTGTAAGTAGTGAACCGTATGTGGTCTCATTCTGATTCAGTGAAGCTAATGCTCTGATATATGTCTCTGTTGTATCATAGAATTTTCTAACACTCTGTATAGTGTACCTGGGTGCTGGAACTTCTAGTAATGCTTTCATGTAAGTTTGTATAATTCTGTCCTTTTGACCATATCTCTCATGTAACAATGAAATAGCCTGTTCATAATTAACATTAGTTAAGGCAAATCCAGCTATTGTTTGCAAAGCTTCATTTTTAAGACACGACTTCAAGTAATTGAATTTCTGTACTCCGCTAAGTGAAACATTCGTGTGTATAGCAGACTCGTAAGAATCCCAGAATGAACACCAGTCAAGGACATTTCCGTCGAACTTCGGCAAATCTAACTTTGGTAATTTGTGATATACTGAGCTTTAAGATAAGGACGGTAAGAAATGCATCTGGGAACTATTCTCGCTGATACATGGCGCACAAATCTCGGATGTAAAAGTGGTAAAATGAAAATAACATTTTTATCATAATCATTACTGTAAAAAATTGTTTTTATCGCCTTTCGGAAATGTTTACTTTCTTTACACAATGTTGAATAGAATATTGTAAAATTCATTTTTGTAGACTTAATCAACACATTTGTTTCCTTATTTCCAGTGTTCTGAGTTAGATTTTCTTTGGCAAAGGCCTTTAGATACGTTTGAGAAAGAGGATCCGATTTGGTAATTGGAAAAAAGTCTTTCTAATTAGACGGCAGATATTCATAGAGTAGCTCGTTTATCGTGTAGATATACCAAACATTGCACAACTTCTTGAAATATAAGTTTTTTGTTATTTCTATAATATGTACCTTTTAGAAAAGTATGGATGAAATGTATCACAATCATATATATATTTATTTTTGTTCGTTAATATTCGTACGTTATCCGATTTTTACCTTATATGGTTATGGTCAGTAAGCCATGCAGTATACGTAAAGCAGTTTTATAGGTGTATTGGTCATTCGACGCAATACTGGTAAACAGTTAAGATCAAGTCTACACGACTAAGTATACATGTCAGACAGCGAGATAGAAAATGCTGGAGCTTCATTACCAGGAGAAGACGGTAAGTTCTCGGGGAATTCAGCTATAAAAGCGTTTTCGCTATTTAAAACTTTACTTGACTCTCGGTTAAAAGATTTTAAGAACGACTTAATTGATATTAATCAATCTCCTCAGAACAAGAAAACTGTGAATTTGAAAAAGGATTCGAATAATAAACAGCATGCATTTAATTCCGATATTTTAGAAGGTTTGGAAGCTTTACGTAAACAACGTTTACAACGTGTCTAGCTTGACATTGTTGACAGTATGAGCTCAAAGTTGGAGCATAGAAATAAGCTTATTCAAGTGGCAGATAATTCCGGGGGGCTGGCTTACCGTGCAACGGTACGAGAAGCCCCAATTAGGCTCAGACAGCGAAGATGAAAAGAAACTCAGGCAAGCTGAAGCCAGGGCCGTCAAAAAGCTTAAGGCTTCCAAACCTGGTTCTAGTTCGTCTTATCATCCTTATAAGAATGTTAATTCTTCTTTTTCTCGCAACAACTCCGATAATGCTGTTCAGTTGGATTCTTTACGTCGAGATCCGTCTTGGGGAGTTCCAGCTTATTCCTTTCGTTCCCAACGCCACAGTACCGGAAAAGACATGTGCTTCGCATGTGGTTAGTGAGGTCATTTCCGCTCAGAATGTCGAGCCGCCGTAAGTCAACGTCGAGTCAGGTACTACTACGCCAAGCCGTCTGCGGCCTCAGCCTCAGCAGTTGCAGACTTCAAGCCAATCGATAAATGATGAGGGTATTTTTTATTATTTGTTAGATAAGGACTTTTTTAGTATGAAGAAAGTCATTTTTCGCCGGACATTAAAATTGTAAAAAATGTTAAATGCAGATTAAGAACACATATTGAATTTTGGAAGTTAATTGGCGCTTATCAAGAAATGTTAGATACAATATCTTTTGGTGACCAATTGCCGTTTATTAGCGTTCCTGCGTCTTCTTTTTCCAAGAATAGCAAAACTGTTATAGACAATTCAGATTTTGTAGAATCTGCTGTATTTGAGCATGTAAAGAAACGTTGCGAGATCGAAACACCTTTTAAGCCACATACTGTTAACCCTCTTACAGTTTATATTAATAAACAGGGTAAGAAAAGATTATTTTAACTTTGAGGGTAATCAATTTGTGTTTATGGACGGATAATTTTTCTTTTGAAGACTGGAAAATTGGTTAAGAATATTTTGAAATGGGCTCTTTTTGTTGTAAATTTGATCTTAGTGAGGGATATCATCATATTGATATTTTCCCTCCCTGGATTTTCTGTGAAAGGGAAATTCTACTGCTTTACAGTGCTTCCGTTTAGCGGAAGTACTTCCGGTTTAATTTTTCTAAGGTGCTACGTGAAACAGTTAAATTTTGGAGGACAACGACATTAAAATGGTTATGTACCTTGATGACGGGTGGGGTACCAATTCCTCTTACGACAGTTCTTTATCAGATGGTAAGTTTGTCAAAAACAGTTTGGTAAAAGCAGGTTTTGTTATTAATGAAGAAACATCAATATGGGTACCGATTCAACGTTTAGAATGAATTGGTATTTTTTGGGATAGTGTTAATTTTTCTATAAGAATACCAGATAGGAGGAATACAGATTGTTTAAGTCTTTTACATTTCATTTTAGATCACCAGCACTTAGTGTCCTCACGTATTTTAGCACAGTGCGCCGGGAATGTCGTTTTTATGAAACCAGTTTTCGGTAATTTGTAGATTAATGACACGGTTTATGTATATATTAATTGAGAGTATAGCTTTGTGGGAATGTCGTTTTATATTAGATCACGGTCATCTATGTTTACAGGAAATAAATTTCTGGTTAAACAATATTGAGAAATATAATATCAGGCGTTTGTTCGGAAACGTTCCTGTCGAAACATTGGTTTATTCCGATGTTTCAGATACAGCTGCTGGCGCTTACATTGTTAATTGTAGAAATAGCGCTTTTCATTCAGTCTGGTCGCGTAGTTAATGCTTAAAAGTTCAACTTTCAGAGAACGTAAAGCTGTTCGGCTAGCTTTGAACGCAGACAGGCACCTGTTACAAGGTAAATCAGTAAAATGGTTTTCTGATTCGCATTCATTTGTTTACATTGTTCAAAGCGGAAGTACAAAAATCGATATACAAAACGAGGCTGTACAAATTTTTAACACTTGCATACAATACAATGTGGATTTAAAAATCCAGTGGGTTCCAAGAATATATAATACAGTTGCTGATGATAATAGTGAGTTTTCAAAAACCGACGATTGGGGAGTGTCAAGGGCATTTTTTTAGTACATGATTCTATGCGGGGACCTCACGATACTGACTGTTTCGCAACTTCTAAAAATTGCAAGACATTAAGATTTAACATTCTGTTCATGGATGATGACACTGAAGCTGTCGATTCTTTTACTCAAGACTGGGGCTCAAGTTATAATTGGCTGGTCCCTCCAGTATACCTAGTTTCTAAAGCAATTTTGCACGTGTTATATTGTCGCGCACGTGCTACTCTTGTCGTTCCCAAATGGTCAAGTTCATCTTTTTGGCCAATTCTCTTCGGTTCTTCCGGATTAAGAATAGATGCTGTTCGCGAAATTTCATTTTGAGTCGTTAAAAAAATTTAATATTGTAAACTTTATTATTAAGTTTTGCACTTATTTGATTTTTGTTTATACATTTTGCAGATATATTCACAATTGGATTTTGGAGGGACATAGATTATTTAAATGTTCATCCTGATTTGGAATCAGCTCACAAAAAAACATTAAATTTGTTTGTAAAAATGCAAAAGCCAAAAACACTTTAAAGAGTTACGAAGTTTACTTCAAAAATTTTGCGTGTGGTGTCAAAAATATGATTTTTATTCCCGTCCCTTTTAGTGATTATACAGTGTCATTGAATATTTCCCATATGCAGAGTGATATTCGATCTGAATCCAAGTTAAATTCAAGTTTGTATGGCATTTCGTTTTCTCATAAGCAAAGTGGTTTTAAAGATTCGTGCAGCTCAAGACTTGTGAGTTATGTTGCAGAAGGCATGATGAGGAATGAAACATCAGTCTGAAAAAACCTTTTAATAAAACCAACATTGAGAAAATAATTAATACCTTGACAAATAAACAAACGTTTTGTAGCCATGTCCGTTTAAAGTTTTTACGGTTTTTTGCGAAGTAGTTTCTTTAAAAAGATCGGATATTGTATGTGAGGACGATTGTATTAAATTAAAATTGAGATATTCTAAGACTTTTACGCCGGTGCTTCAGTTTGTATAGCTAAAAAAGAAACTGATTTTGTCCTGTTCGTTGTCTAGATTATTATTTAACAGCTTCAAATCATGATAATTCTGACGATTTTTTGTTTAGAAAGTGTTTATTTTTCCAAGAAAGCCGGTATGCATATGTTAGGAAAGAGAAAAGTATTTCCTTTTCATGAGCTAGAGAGATTTTTGTATAGGTGTATTGGTCATTCGACGCAATACTGGGTTATTTTTTATCATAAAACTAATGTGTGTTTGAGTTAATGAACGATAAATTAACGCTTTGTCCAGTATTGGTCACTCCTATTTAGTCGTTGTTGTCATTATTCCTTACGAAAATAATGTTTAGACAATAAATGATTTATGTATGGATGAAGGAACTGAAAGAAAACATAAATAGTTACATGTAAAAACACACTGCAGTTTAGATTGTTTGGGGAAGGTTGAGGTTAAAGAGGGTAGTGACCAATCAACGCGCAGAACACTTGTGAGTTAAATTTATCTTTACCATAATTTGTGTCGGGGAACGTATTCTTCCCCTAAATGACTTGGGGAAATAATTTGGAAGTTTTACTTACCGACTCTTACAGAAAATTATAACCAATGTCACCGCTATAACGACAATTCCCACTGGCAATAAAATATACAAATAGGAAACAGGAGTTTTGTCATCGCCTGTAAAACGTGTAGACAGAACATGATAACTGTTACATTACACAGCATATATTCATCAGAAGTGTTATTATAGTAACGCTTATTACTAAATAGTAATTAATTTAGGGATTTTATACGGAAGCGTCCTGGTGCCAATTTAACATGTTCTATAAAAAATGAAAACACCTACGTCGGAGATAGCCTAATTAGGAGTTTATAATTCACACGTAGGATAAAAAAGCCTAATAAGGAGTTTATAACTCCTACGTAGGATAAAAAAGCCTAATTAGGAGTTTTTAACTCCTACGTAAAATATAAAAAGCCTAATTAGGAGTTAATAACTCATACGTAGGATAAAAAAGCCTAACTAAGAGTTTATAACTCCTACATAGGATAAATAAGCCTAATTAGGACTTTATAACTCCTACGGAAGATAAGAAAATCTAATTAGGAGTTAGGTTAAAAAAGCCTAATTATGAGTTTATAACTTATACCCAGGAGTTATAAACTCCTAATAAAGCGTTTTTATCTGTTCTGTACAAATCTTATAATTGTTGTCGTAATTGTAACATAATATTGTAACATAATAAATTTGAATGAGAAACCAATTTAATAATTATAATATGTGATTATATTAAATTTACAAATAGTCTGCTTTTGAATAACTGATACTGGCTTTACAGTCTGGTCATTATTATTAGTGAAATTAGTGTTCAATTTCCTATGTTCTTTGGACAGATTATACCATTTTGTTTATTTTGATAAAAGACAGTTTACATATATATTGAAAATGTTGTAATGATAACGCGTTGGAATATCAAATAGTGAACGAACAATTTTTATCATTAATAATTCGAGGAAAAGTACTTCGAACCTGTGTTCGTTTTCCTCACTGGTTCAAGTGTAGATAAAGTATCATGATTTGTTGCTGGCTTTTGACTGGTACTTCTGCTAGTCTCAGTCGCGTGATTCACACTCGACTGTTGACTGGTACTATTGATAGTCTCTGTCACGTGATTTACACTCGACTGTGGACTGGTACTTTTGCTTGTCTCAGTCACGTGATTCACACTCGACTGTGGACTGGTACTTTTGCTAATCGTAGTCGCGTGATTTACACTCGACTGTGGACTGGTACTTTTGCTTGTCTCAGTCACGTGAATTACACTCGACTGTGGACTGGTACTTTTGGTAGTCTCAGTCACGTGTGTTACACTCGACTGTGGACTGTTACTTTTGCTTGTCTCAGTCACGTGATGTCTACTCACACCTTTTTCTCTTGATGGTGTTGTCGACGTATTTTCATTTGCTTTTTGAATATATATAATGTAAGGCAATGAATCGTTTAGAAAATTTAAACCGTTAAATGATTAATCACAAATTGTTTTTATTGGCTTGAAAATATTATATTACATGTATAAGGCATAAACGAAATAACTTCAGGAGTAATAAAGTTGTAATTAGGAAATTTGATGTTAGAAAAATACCGTTTTGTTGTCAAAATGATTTCGCTTCAACCATGAACTTTAATCTTTTCATTTTTATTAAAATGTATTCTAACTTAGAAATAAAATGTACAATATATTTTGACCTACTTCTCTAAAAATTTTGTTATTAGATAGATTTTAAATATATTCGCATTTACAATATTCTTTTTCGGGTAAATGTATCAAAGAAATAGTTACACTGTGTGTCGTATATCATGATTTTCCAATCACCACCGCAGTATTCATCCGAATTACCTTCACATTCGTATGTACAATGTGATGACTTTAAAGAAACCCTTATTTCATTTCCGCAAAAACATTCCTCCCCACTCTGTAAAAAGAACAATGATTATGTTTTAGCTATTAATTTATCGAGTTCATCGAGTGAGCTTTAATAGGCCAGTCATAATAGAAATTATGGTAAAACTAATTCCTTCACAAATGTTTTCACGATTAAATAAAAGATAAACATTATCTTTATTTTGAGAAAAAAGTCCTCAAAAAATCTCCTTGCAGAATCCTGAAAAATCGACCATAAAGATTTAGTAAAAATCGATATTTAAATGTGTCCCTTAAATTACACCATACTTAAATGTTATGCACGTTCGGTGACGTCACTTTTATTATATTTTCCTTGAAAGATCTGAAGTTACTTCAATTCAAGCATTCCTAGTGCAAAGGTGAGTGATTTTATTAATTTTTATATTCTTCTGTATAAATTTTAGTGAAAAATATGTCAGTAGATAGATATAATTGACCACCAATCAATCGAATATGCAGATGACAAAATGTGTCATACAATTAAAAAAAATATTTCGCGATTTTAATTTTAAGTACAATTTTGAAAGAAGTAATCATTAACAGAGAGTTTATCATTTACTCACTGTTCTACATTGTTTTCTTTTGTACAATTATCTAAAATGACACAGAATTAACCACACATCTTATTGAGTATTTAAAAAAAAATGTATATGCACACGTTATGTAAAAAAGAAATTTCTACGGAAGCGTGTTGTGACCAAAATCACGAAAATCTAAGGATATTTTTAAAATGTTAAATTTGACTTATTTAAAAGAGTTGGCATGTTTTATGAATTGTGGAAATCATAATTAAATCAAATAATATGTTAATTTGATGTAAACAAGCGTTTTTTGTAATACATAATGCATTTCTAAGCGAAATGATAATATTCCAGCATGTTATATGAAAATAGACAGCGTATCCAATTGGGTGTAATCAAGCTTAAACTATTACTTATTAATGAGGAAGTTGTTACTGGAACTTTATACATTACTTTTACTTCTTAACAGAAGACATGGATTTAAAACCCAAATTATTATGCCAATTATTTGATTCTTTTGTAGGTTCAAAAGATAATTGAGCGTATTCACATGAAATATTGTAAAATAATTTTAAATGTTAGAGCCAATACATGCAATGTTCGTATATACGGCGAACTCGGCCGTTACCCATTGTAGTAAGAATAATTAAGTTTTGGTGCAAATTGATAAATACTGACGATATAATTTTACGGAAAACATATGAATTAAGTTTATCTGATTGTTGTAAAGGTAAAAAAAAACTGGATATCAAATGTTAAAGAAATGCGAGATATGTATGGTTTATCAGAATACGTTGAAGTTTTTTGAAAATAATATAAATATTTAAACAAAGAGTTATTGATAATTATATACAAATATGGCATTCATCTGTAGAAAATAATTCTGTTTTAGAACTTTATAAAAATTGTAAAGAATTATATTCATACGAAAACTATCTTAACATATTACCAAATGATCTTAGATTTTACATCACAAGAATTAAAATGTCTGCACATACACTAGGAGTACAAACGGGTAGATATGGTCAAAATAGAATCCCAAGGAGTGAAAGATATTGTTTATGTTGTAATACTATGAATTTAGAAGACGAATACCATTTTGTTTTGATATGCCCATGCTATGTTGACAAAAGGAAAAATATATGTGAAACGATATTATTACAAATGTCGTCCATGATCAATGTGTAAATCTATTGAACTGATATCTTCAAATAATAAAATTATACTTACTAATCTAGCTAAGTATTTGAGAGAATCGATTAGAATCAGGAACATTATTGTTAGTACTAACAACTGAACTTTGTTACAAATTTATACTAAAAATTCAATTGATTTGTTGTATACTCTGCATAACAAATTGTTTTATAAGTGTGGATATAATATTCTCTTAATCCTTTTTTTTGTTCATTCTCCAGCTTTACATGTAATTCAATACTATGTATTAAATCCTATATTATTTGTTAAATAGAAACGTGACATCTTTACAATTTGTGTATTTATATTGTAGTGATGATGCACAATGTACAAATCCAAAATAAAATTATGTTCTGTTCCGTTCTTTACAAAGTTTTATATCTTATGTTTTAACTATTTTTTATTCTATCATTCTAGACAATTTGGATAAGTCTAATAATCTATGTCAAAATGCAATAGATTTCACTTACCAAAATAGTTTTAAAACACAAAATTTACTTAAATACTAAGATGACATATTCGAAGAGAAAAATAAAATGAGGTGTTAACAGACCAGACTTCAAAATTACATTTGATATAGATTTTAATCAAATCTTTTCCGATCCTAAACCATTTTATTCTTATTATAACATATTAAATTTGCTTCAATTGTTTTCTTATCCTTATGATACCAGTGCCAGTTGTATGTATACATTGTATTTTAAGTAATGTTTTCCATGTTGTTGTCAGCATTTATAGAACAGTTGTTGCATAATTAGTTAGAAGATGGATAGACACGTGACTTCTACACAAGGGGTAATGGGATGTGAGAGAAAAATGGCTTTTTACGTAGATATATCTTTTTGAATGAATGAAAACAAAAGAATTGGGTGTCTTTCAGGTTTGTTAATACAACAGAAATTGATATATCAACACAAATTTACATCATTGTTTTACAGCATGATTATAATAAATGCACATACAAAAGAGTTTGCTCATACCAACATTTTCTTAGTCGTTTCCCTATTATATCATTTCAATACTATTTCTTTTTAATATCTTTTTGATAATGTTTTATCAATTATATATATCTTATTTTCAGCGGAAGGGCTAAACATAGTATGGGATGGTTGATTGCAGAAGACAATATTTAGCGAGAGTCCAGCCTTTTATATTTTGGCGAACATAAATCAATCCGTTGATTGGATGTGGCACGAGTTTTCCATATTTCCAAGTTAGGAGAGGCTAAATGGGTTCTGTTTGAAAAGATCAAGCATTTTTGAAAAGCAATTAACAGGTAAATCAAAGAAAAACCCTCTATATTTTTAATACATTGTTGCTGTACCAGATTCAATTTTGTGTGCTACTGCATAGATAACCTTTCTAAAGGGAATTCACATTTGTAAAAGCTAAATGATTTTCTTTTAAAAGTGTTTTATTTTTAGTGTCCAAAACTGCAGTTTTCTTACATTCTCGGAATTACTAAGATCAGAGATCTGTTTGTTGTTTTTTTATGTGACATCAACACTTTACAGGTCATATAATAACTTTCAAGTTTTACTTAACCAATATTCTATAAGCTAGTTTTGGATAGCTATGTCAGATAATAGATTCCAAAACCAAGGCGGGACTCGAACCTATATCGGTAACACCGTAAGAAGCACGTGTTTTGAAGTCAGTGATTTTAAACACTCGACCAAAACTTCCAATTTAGTTATCTGTATGAAAGTATAGGTGCCGTTTTGTTCAGTATTTCCTACTTATATGACACATTATGATGTTTCACAGTTAGCGCTTCTTTCAGCCGATAGGCAATTTACACGCTTAAAATTTGTTATAACAATATAACATGAAACATATTTTCTAAAGAAGAAAGCTGAGGCACGTTTTTGCTGACGCTAAACGTGCCTCATTAATGTATGAATTATTTGTAGATAATTCAATATAAAAATATAAATCTAAAAACACAATCCTATCTTGCTTTTCATAGTATCTACATTTTCAGTTTGACATAAAATTGTTTTATTTTAAAAGCAGAATGCATAGTTCGCATTTTTATTTCTCATATTATGTTGTAACAATTTTACAGATGCGAAACAATGTGTCTCCGTGAAAAGGGCAGGCTAAATTTTTCAACAGCACCGGCCGAAAAATTGGAGATATAATTTCAGCATTGAACAAGGGCAGGGCAATATGTATATATACATGTGTAGTGTTATCAGACTATATGGATAGTCGGGCCTCGGTGACAAAAAATGATGAAATAACATTAAGTTTTTTTAGTGTCTTAACATTCAGAAGATTCATTTTATTTTAAGATGTCTTTTTACAATAAATTTTTTACAAAAATTTCATGGTAAAGTAAGTGCATTTTAGCATTGGTAAGATATTTACTTGAAGGATTGATTTTCAGAACAGAAATGCAAATACAATGTATATAAATAATAATCATTCGTGTAAAACATATTGCAATTTTGAATTATAATATGAATTTAGATAGATTCATAAACCTTATTTTTGGTAGAGCTAACTTGTAAGAATATTTAATGGAATCTGAATTAAAGTACAAAAAAAAATATTTTATCATTAGTGGGTGGGGTAATGTTTTATACCAGTCTAAATGATGATGTATAGATTATGCAGTGTTGCGACTTTTTGAATGAAATGAACATAGGTTGAAGTGTTTTAGATTAAATAAAGCATGTTTGTGTGTTAATGTGTTACTTTGTTAATGACCATATTTGCGTAGAATATCTGGGTTATTTAATTTCACAGATTTATCTAATTTAAAACACATGATTTCAAAACATGACATTTTTAGCATTTTGTACTTCGAATTTTTTTGAGGACTTATTTCCTGTATCAACACATATATAGTAGATAACAAATATGCAAATATCTTTTCTGAAGGAATTTGTTTGAGGTTGGGTCTTATTTTTGGCTAAAATGCCTAGCCTATAAAAACAGTATTCTCACGAGTGGTAAAATAAAATTACATCTTACACAACAAACAAAAAACTTTTTTTATTTTATGGTTAAAACAAATTTAAATGAAATTTCCTTAATATTCACTGCAATATTAAAATCTGATTTCTTCACTGGTAGCCTCATTTAGTCAAATTTCTCATAAAATACAAGAAAACTTGGCTGAAAAAAATAAGTTCGACAATCAACGTTAAATGGCGATGATATTATTCATTTTATTCAAATAATATTAATGATTGCTTGTTTTAATAATAAAAACAAACACTTCTAGTAGGAGAAAAAGTCAAACCATCCATCCTTATTTCTGTTACTTACGGCGAATTTTTATTACACCTGGCTTTGTGAAATGTA